GCCCCCTCTGTGTGCGTGTGAGGCAGCCAGAGATGCTGCCTGGGGACGCACCCTCTATTGTGTGGTCCTCCTGTGTGCGTGTGGGGCAGCCAGAGATGCTGCCTTGGGATGCATCCTCCATTCAGTGGCCCCCTCTGTGCATGTGGGGCAGCCAGAGATGCTGCCTGGGGACGCACCCTCCATTAGGTGACCCCACTGTGTGCATGTGAGGCAGCCAGAGATGTTGTCTGGGGGCGCATCCTCCATTGGGTGGCCCCCCTGTGTGCGTGTGTGGGAACCCAGATGTTCCCTGAGGGCGCACCCTCCATTGGGTGGCCCCCCTGTGTGCGTGTGTGGGAACCCAGATGTTCCCTGAGGGCGCACCCTCCATTGGGTGGCCCCCCTGTGTGCGTGTGTGGGAACCCAGATGCTCCCTGGTAACCATGTACAGACATTTCTGCTTCTTCCTCCCTGGGAGCGCACCTTCCATTGGGTGGCCCCCCTGTGTGTGTGTGTGGGAGCCAAGATGGTCTTTGGGGACACACCCTCCATTGGGTGGCCCCCTGTGTACGTGTGTGGCAGCCAGAGATGCTGCCTGGGGGCGCACCCTCCATTGGGTGGCCCCGCTGTGTGCGGGTGTGGGAACCAAGATGCTCCCTGGGAGCGCACCTTCCATTGGGTGGCCCCCCTGTGTGTGTGTGTGGGAGCCAAGATGGTCTTTGGGGACACACCCTCCATTGGGTGGCCCCGCTGTGTGCGGGTGTGGGAACCAAGATGCTCCCTGGGAGCGCACCTTCCATTGGGTGGCCCCCCTGTGTGTGTGTGTGGGAGCCAAGATGGTCTTTGGGGACACACCCTCCATTGGGTGGCCCCGCTGTGTGCGGGTGTGGGAACCAAGATGCTCCCTGGGAGCGCACCTTCCATTGGGTGGCCCCCCTGTGTGTGTGTGTGGGAGCCAAGATGGTCTTTGGGGACACACCCTCCATTGGGTGGCCCCGCTGTGTGCGGGTGTGGGAACCAAGATGCTCCCTGGGAGCGCACCTTCCATTGGGTGGCCCCCCTGTGTGTGTGTGTGGGAGCCAAGATGGTCTTTGGGGACACACCCTCCATTGGGTGGCCCCGCTGTGTGCGGGTGTGGGAACCAAGATGCTCCCTGGGAGCGCACCTTCCATTGGGTGGCCCCCCTGTGTGCGTGTGTGGGAACCCAGATGTTCCCTGAGGGCGCACCCTCCATTGGGTGGCCCCCTTGTGTGCATTTGGGGCAGCCAGAGACGCTGCCTGGGGACGTACCCTCAATTGTTTGGCCCCCCTGTGTGCATGTGACGCAGCCAGAGATGCTGCCTGGGGGCGCACCCCACCATTGGATGGCCCTGCTGTGTGCGTGTGAAGCAGCCAGAGATACTACCTGTGTGCGCACCCTTCATTGGGTGGTCCCCATGTCTGCATGTGTGGGAGTCAAGATGCTCTTTGGGGACGCACGCACCCTCCACTGGGTGGACCTCTGTATGCGTGTAAGGCAGCCAGAGATACTGCCTGGGGGCGCACCCTCCATTGCGTGGCCCCCGCTGTGTGCATGTGGGAGCCAAGATGGTTTTTGGGGACGCATCCTCCATTGGGTGGCCCCCCTGTGTGCGCACCAGATTCTCCCTAAGGGCGGTGCACCCTCCATTGGGTGGCCCTGCTGTGTGCGTTTGGGGCAGCCAGAGATGCTGCCTGGGGGCGCCCCCTCCCCTTGGTG